CACTGGGAATGAACTGGGAATGAAATGGGAATGAACTGGGAATGTACTAGGAATGCACTGGGAATTCACTGAGAATGCACTGGGAATGCACTGGGAATTCACTGGGGATGCACTGGGAATTCACTGGGGATGCACTGGGGATGCACTGGGGATGCACTGGGGATGCACTGGGGATGCACTGGAGATGCACTGGGGATGCACTGGGGATGCACTGGGGATGCACTGGGGATGCACTGGGGATGCAGCAGGTCTGGGGCACCAAAACCTCCTCAGGGGACCCAGGGATGGGGTGAAACATGATGCATTCCACAGCTGCCTGTGCCACAGGGGCTCCAGCAGGGCAGGGCACTCCAGGCACCTCCTTCTGCACCTGAAAATGGCAATTTTCTTATCTGGGGGGCCACATTTCCTCGGACTTTGCAGCACTCCCAGCACCAGCCATGCCCTCAGATCAGCAGCCCTCGTTCTGTGCTCCCAGCTGATGAGTCAGTGGCTTCATTAAAACACAGCTCATTTGAAGGGACACTTCCTGACGGGCTCAAACCTCGTCTGTGTCCAGAGCCCGCATTTCCCAGGGCTGCATTTAACATCATGCAATTAACAGCCAGCCCCTGCCAGGCCCTGGGTGCTTCCTCTGGCAGCAGCAAGGAGCTGCCACACCCCAGCGCAGGGCACGGGCCGAGAATCATCCCACAGGGAGAATCATCCCCCAAAAACCAATTCTGACCAACGTTCCCTGAGCCTGTTCTGCTGAGCAAGGCAAAGGCTCCCTCCACGCTCCAAGTGTGCACAGGGGGCTGGGAGTGCTGCTTGTTTTGGCAGAAGAGATGAGAAAACTGCAGAGCATTTGAGTTCAGAAGGCTCATTATGACTAATCTGCCTTCCTGAGCTGCAGGTCTTTTATTCCAGAGGCAGATATAGGCCTGCCCTGGGAGGGAACATCTGCAAGGGATGCTAATGTAGATATTTGTGAGAAAGGTGGCACAAGCTGCAGCAAGATGAGTCTGCAGCAGTGCTGGGAGGGAGCACAGGGTGGGAGAGGAGCTCTGGCAGCTCCCAGCGGGGTCTGCATGAGCCCCCAGCCCCAGCCCTGCACCAGCCTGGCTCTGCTGCTGCTGGAGAGGCAGCCTGGGCTCTCACTGGGCAAGTGGGACTTGCATTTTCACCCCTGAGTGGGATTTAGCATTTCAGATGTTACACTTGGGCTGGGCTGTGGGTGCCATGGAGAAAGCTTGAGCAGCCTGGGCTGGCTGTGGCATTTTCCTCACTCTCCTCCTCGGCTGCACAGCGCTGAGCCCTGATTTTAGGAGCCTGAAGAACTGGTGCTTTGCAGCATCTCCCATGAGTTAACAGGCACCCTGCTCCTGCAGTGAAACAGGGAGAGTCCTGCACCCTTCTGGGCTCTTTTTTGTGGTTTTTTTTTCACTTTATATGATACCTGAGCAGCATTTAGGAGTGTGTGTGATGCACTTGGACCAGGTAATCAGTGTTAAAGGGCTTGGGTGGGTCTGGTTTCTACAGCAGGAGGGACTGAGTGCAAACTGAAGTGGTTTGCTCTGAAAATCTGCCTCATTTTTGTATTTATTGAATGTTGGTGCCAGAAAGAGACAGGCCTGACACAGAAGGTTGCGATAAACTTGCAGGGAGGTTCATTCTGCAGCTCAGGACTGGCCCTTAAAAACCTCTGCCTTATCCCAGAGGTGTCAGAAATGTTTCCTCTTTAGCATTTGTGGCCAACTTCTCCTCTCATTGGAGAAATCAAATCATCGCTCAAGACCTCAGTGCTCTCTTCAGAGCTTTCCACACCAGCAGCCTGTGAGAGGGCAGCAGAAGAATGAATTATCTCATTGTCAGGGGCTGATATCCCACTGGAATTTCCCTTTTTCCGTGGCATGGTGCAGTGCAGGAGGCACCTGGTCTCCTTCCATGCCCATGCTGCTCTGAGTCTTCTGTTACGGGAGCAGAAAAAGAACCCATGGCAGGGAAATACAGAACATTCAGGATATTTACCAATATTTGCCCCAGGAACAGCACTCCACAAACCAGAAAAGCCCTGAAAAGAAAAGATTTTGCTCCTTATGAGAAGGTTGCACTCGTGGGTTTGAAGTTTCATTTTGGTTTGGCTTTGGTTTGCTTTTATTTGTCAGTTTTTCTCGTTATTGAGCTTTATGTTCTCCCGTGATTCATCTGACTCTAGGGCATTTATTGAAATCCTTGATACAAAATGCAAGGGAAATGAATCTCACTTTAAACTTCCTAAGGACATCTCCATCACCTGATTAAAGTCTCCTGCAGTTTTTTCCAGCTCTTCCCATCCCAGACTCGGAGACAAGGTGCATTTCTGGCAAAGGCAGATGTGATTTGTAGCGCATCTCCCATCAGAGCAGCCATTATTTTAATCCATCGTTTTCTAGGGGAAAGAATAAATACTTCTTTTCTTTAGTGGGACTGAGAAAGCCCCACACAGAGATGAGTTTTACAAGCAGTTAAACGCTGTAAATCAACAGGCTGAGGCAGATGGCACAGAGTCAGTGAGACTCAGAGCTCGTCCATTAAACACCTCACCCAGTTCTCAGTTATTAAATTGCTCTTCTCCTGACTCAGATTGGAGCTGATTTCCTTATGGATGGCTGGATGGAAAATATTCTTCTGATCCAACTGGAAGTCCAAGGAGTCAAGGAGAGGACAGGCTCTTCTTGGCTTCAAAGAAAGCGTAAACATCTCAAAGAAGTCTGGTCCATCCATTAAATAAGTATCTTTATTTTGAAGCAAGCAAAGCATTTTGCTGTCCTGCTTTCAGAAGAAATAATTATTCTATGCTGAGCTCATTTGGCTCTCTTGGCATTGCAAAACTCACATAAATCGGATAAAAAGGAATTTATTGCAGTAACACTTGGAAAGTTCAGGAGTATTCAATCTGACTTTAGCACTGAAGATGACTCAGAAAGTCAAGAGTGTGCACACAGCAATTCAGGAATGCAACATCCCAGGAGATTTAGGGTTCCACCATCCAGAGAGGTTGAAAGCAGCATTTGAGATCCACTCGTTAGGATAAAAGCCCCTCAGAAACTGAATTTCTTTAAAGCCTCACCGCAGAGATGGGTTTCACTCTGTTCTCTCCTTGTCTATGGCTGTTTGGTAATACAAAAAATACATTCAGAAAAGGTTTTGAGCCATTACTGGAGAAATAAAGAGGAGCTTTCTTAGGAAGCACCCGTCAGATGAGGGACTGCTAATGCTCTGAAGTGAGCTGGAGTTAGGGATATTAAACTATAAGAAGATACGAAAATATTGCAACTGCAGCCACGCTTTCAGCAAATGGTTTCTCTTGGTATTTGAATTGCAAAGAGATCTCTCCAGCAGCACAGGGAGTGTTTGAACAAGGAGCACAGCTGAGAATTGCAGCCAGGGTTTTTAGCAGCTGCCCAGGATGTGCTGGGAACGGGGGCAGTAGCACCCCCAGCCCCTTCTCACACAGAAACCCCTCTCTCCGTGCTGGGGGGCACTGCGAGCTTCCCCTGCTGTGCCAACAGCTGGGCACACG